GCATAGGTAGTGTATACAGTGTGGGCTTCAGCGTCTTGTGGTGGCTGGGCCCAGCACAGTATATATCCTGGACCACAAAATCTTTGTGTTGTCGACTCAAGGAGGAATCAGTTAAAACAGTATTGTGCCATTGATACAGTTTCTAAAGCAACCTTTTGAAAAATTAATAGCCACGTAAATTACATAAGCTAAATTTTGGAGTTATACATTATCGTTACCTAATTTGCAACAAATACCAGTGTAATGGTTCCTATAAGAACCTCATGAAATCCTCTTCTGAAGGTTAACTGAGCAGCAGCACCAGTGGCAGTCCAGTTGGCTGGCCGCCCCTGTTGCGCCTGAGCAACTCATATGTGTTTATTCCCAGTGCATCCCTGTGAATGGCAGTTCAAACACATGTTGACTCCAACTGGCAAGCAACCTGCAAATCTCTACTCTGTTTACCTAGATAGATGACTGAAGACTGAAAAGTAAAACGTCTGCTGCAGTGATTACAATCCCCCTTAGAGTCCCCTGAGAAAATATATGCCGGCAGTAAACATGCAGCTAAAATTGACCTTGTCATATAACTGGACATTTATTTGGAGCCACTTTAAAACAAGCACTTCAGAGCTATTGAGTTAAGTGCCAAATGATAATTTACAAAACAGAAGAAACAAGTCAAGTCAAAACCTAGTACACTATTCAGACCCCTCACTTTTCTCAGTGTTGCTTCTAAAATTGTAGAAATTCATTTTTTCACTCATTAACCTACACTCAGTACCCCAATATGAAAAAAACTGTTCATTTTTATTCTTTTTTTTTTTTGTGCAAATTTATTAAAAAGGAGAAACTGAAATATCGTATTGACATAAGAATTCAGGCTGTGATTACAGTCTTAAGTGTTCTTGGGTGTGACGCGAAAAGCTTTGCACACCTGGATTTGGGGATTTTCTTTGCAGATCCTCTCAAGTTCTGTCAGGTTGGATGAGGACAGTTGGTGGACAACCATTTTCAGGTCTCTCCAGAGATTTTGATTGGGTTCAAGTCAGGGCTCTGGCTGGGCCACTCAAGGACATTCAATTCAATTCATTTCTAGCAACACAATGTATTTTTCATTGCAACTATTAATTTGCTTGAAAATCTTGCTCTGTCAAAGCTAAGGAGATCAAGACCCCTCAAGACACACCGGTCAATTCTGTACTACATTCACATCAGATTTACCCTTCAGTAAATCATTATGGCTTATTGATTCATCCAAAGCTAAATAGCTACATCAGATGTCCTGGGATAAACACGCAGTAATTACAAATAGATTTTGAGAAATCCATCAAATGACTTGCCATGTTTAAATGGCAAGTCATTTAAACATGAAATGCCTCCTGCTGACAAGAAAAAGCAGAAGTCAATTTTATGTTCAGTTAACCGTCAACAAAATATAAATACCACAGAAAAATACCATACACTAAGAACAATGTTGGACTGAAGCGCTGATCTTGGCCAGTGTTTTTCTTTTAACATAACAGCTAGACCAGAGTGAGCTCCCATCATCTCCCTCCTGTTTAAACATCCAGCTCCTTATTCACAGTGTGCGCCACACATGGTAAAGCAATTAATAAATCATCTTTAGAGAGCCTAATTCTAATCATAACATGTTAGATGTCAGCAGCTCTTCTCGTGAAATGACTGGGGGGAAAGCTTTACAAGGGAAAATCCACCCTTACAACACATATCCACATATGTTATTCCCATGACCTTGAACCATGGCAAACTGTGGTTCTGAAGTTTCACACTTTTGTCAAAGTGTGTACTATTGAGGGGTTAACACATGTGAATTCTGTTTTTGGGTGGATTTTTACCTGAGCTGCCTCTGCAAATAGAACTTTCCAGCTTTACAACTATTACCCAAAGCACCCGTTGTGTAAATATCAGGATAAATCAGTCTACCTATCAAGTATCTGTATATCAAGTATGTACCCCACCATGGTCAGCCAACCCTGGGGGAATATGAAGATTTAACATTACATTTATCATCCCCCAATTAATCACAGGAACAATGGATTATTAAGAGAAATGAGGTGGAACAGAATCTCAATTTATGAATCTCAGTGTATCGAGTATCACCACAATCCAACAACTCTGGAAGATGCGAGGAGTTCCCATTTTTCATTCATGGCCAATGACATGAAATTGTCTTTGCATACAGAGAAACAAAAATAGTTAATTACAGGAAGAATACATTATTATGTAACAAGGATAAGGTGAAACTGGAGTTATGGGATGAAGGAACAGAGTACCTGCTATGCTGTGAGCTTCTCTGTAGTGTTGAGCTGTAGTTTATCAAGATCCTGTGACTGCAGGGAGGCTTATTGTTTCACCATAATTAAAACCACAAGGTCTAAATGCCTTTAGTTATTCTGATTGCTCACGGAAACAATTTGTAACGTTTCATTACATCTACTCCTGTAACACTGCAGTAATTTCCAGAGAAGATGCTATTCATTTACTGACAAGCTCTACTCCAGTGTGTAGGGTTGGAGTAGGAGCAATGAGGGCTAGGTTTTAACAAAATACAGTACCAGCGCCTAGTTACCGATGTCTTGTTTTCACTTCAAAGAGAAATATTTGGATAAGAAGGAACTCGAGTCTGACTCAGTATATGTTTCTCAGTAACTAATGCAGCCCAACAATAAGATGCCCTATGCAAATATGTCTAACACTAAACACTCATACACATAGTTTCAGGCCAGATGTGCTGTCCACTTAATGTTCTAAGCCAACACTGTCACTGTATGTGAATGTATGAACATGTCTGTTACTGATTAATTCTAAAATCCAGCATACCTTTGTTTTCAGTCATTTACAAACATCCGTATGATAGACAGAATGACAAAAATGCAAACAGCATGACTAAGAAAGAAAAAAGACTGCAAGAAAAAAAATTGAAAATCTCAACGGAAAGACAAACAGACAGCAAGCCAGACGGAAAAACAGCTTCACAAACAGGAAAACAAAAAGTTCAACTGCAAGATGGAAGACCAGTCACAGAGATGGACAGCTGGCGGATAGGAGGTCATGCACATTGATAGTCAGTGTACTCAGTTGAGTGTTGCTGACAAGCTACAGCCTGATGTAGCTTTGTGTGCAGTGTTGGAGCCAAGGTGACTCTTTACTGACAACCCCTAATGAGAGAATATACTGCTGAGATGTGAGTAAGCAAAGATGCTGTGGTATGGAAAAGCCATTAGTGCATATTGGATGAAACAAGGAACAGAGGGAAAACCAGGAGGAAAAGGCGGCGTGACCTTTCAGCTGTGAGCTTTTAAAGCAAGTAAGGAAAGAACTCTAATGGCCTTTTTTTAGACTCTGAAATGTCAAAGGAGCATTTTTCCTATCAAAACACTTGACATGGGGGAACGTCATACACATGCAATGTTATTTACAGCTACAGGATGACTTCACCCAAAACAGGGAATTATCACTCCTGTTGGGAACACATTTCCCAGGAACTTAAAAAAGAGAGAAAAAAAAAAGACAAACAACTACTTGCTTATTTCCCCTGACTCGTCACTGCGATGCTTTGGCAGAGAATGTTTCAACCGTTAAAGTGTTTAGAGGACCTGGAGCCTAAACACTGTTAGAGTCAAACAACAGAGACTGGGAAGGCCTTTTAATGTATTTATTTATTCATTTTTTAAACTGTGTGACTAATTCAGTTAAATGACGCTAGCCAAGACATTCCATTGGATCACATTCATTAAATATCTATAGAGCAACATGAGAGGTGGGCTATTAGGTTTATAAATAACCATGAGTATTAAATGAAAACCATTTCTACAGTCAGTGAGGCTCTGTGCTGTGTCATGGACAGCTCCTAAACGGAGTGACTGCTCCAGCCATTCTCTCAGGTAGGAGTGTAAGAATACATGTGTACTGTACAGTATGTTTGTGTGTCTGTGTGTGTGGATACAATATAATATCCCTGAGGTCCACTAAACAGATTCCTCACACTGATGAAAATACCATTACAAGGGCTTTTTGCACCACATTTATACACTTGATAAATTGTGTGAGAATGCAGTGCTGACCTGTTGTGCTACAATCAACAATAACCTGCTGGTGTGTCTCACAGTGTGTTCCTGACACTAAAGCAAGCAGTCACATCCTTCACAAGTTGCGGAACAGCATCTATCCTCCCTCATCTCTGTCCTCCTCGCCTCTGTTTCTCCAATTTGTCCATCTTCATCCAAAGTGTTCAGAGTTTCCTACTTAGAGACAGCATGGACTTGGAAAATTCTGGAAAAGCTCTGAGGAAGGACCACAGCAACGCTACATGTCTGTGTGATTGTCCATGGGTCACATGTACAGGTATGTACATGTAGAAATGTGCCTGCATATGTGTGTGTTAATATATACATATATTCTTTTGATTTGTACGTGTGTATGTGGACTGAACATTGTGAACGGGGTGGGGGTGGGGTGGGTTGGTGGTGAGTGGAAAACTGGCATAGAGGAAGGCTCCACACAGCCAAGTCACTCATTGATTCTGGGCATCGAGAGCCCACAGAGCCATAGTAATACTACCAGAGGAGGAAAAACAGAGGAGGACATGCCTGGGTATGTGGTGTCCTCTGAGAAACGGGTTCACTCAGTTGTCAGCAAGTTGTCGTATGTTATGTAACAACATAGTAACATGGCATCATTGCATAGAAACAAGGTTAAATACAGCAATGTGTTGTTATTCCACTACTGAAAGACCATATCATTAAACATACAAACAGTGGCAGTAATTGCAAATGTCAAGGGAGAAGTAAATGTCACTGCACTTTTCATCTGTATATTAATCTTTATACAAAACACAGAGAAGATCTTTTACTGAACCTGGGACCAATCCTATTCCCTTTATGTGTGTAAACTCTCTGCTCTACGGATTTAACGTAATGTTATTGTATGATGTGCAATGTCACAGTGATATTAATAAATATTATATCTATGGAACAGTTTCGGGTTGGCGAACCTACCTGTTACTGTCTTGGTTTTGACCGGGCTGCTGGCATAGTCCGAGGCCTGATTGGAGGGCTGTTTGGCCAGTGGTGTGCTCCCTACTGACACCTCGTCCTCTCTCCTCTTGGCCAGAGAAACTGGACCTGGATTCTGCAATGACATCACAGCATGACTGAGCACCTATGAGGCCATGGGAAGGGAAACATGTAATTGCATGAATGTATTTCCATTAAAATTCAGTCCATGAAAAAAATCAGCATGTTATCAAGTGTAAGAGTACAAATTATTTAAAAACTGTTAGTAAGGCCATGGCCCAGAGACTGCTTCAGACAACTTTAAAGATCTGGGTTAATCAGGAAACACAATGCAATGTTTAATGCAGTGCAAGACAGAAAGAGAGGCAGAGGGAGAAAGAGAAAAGAAAAATGCAGTGGAACACAACAGAGGCATCCAAGACCAACAAGGACTAGTGACAGCTCCCTGTTTTTTTGAGCAGTCTCCCATGCTGCTGGCAGGCACACGCACACACGCGCGCGCGCACACACACACACACACACTGCTGAAAGACAGAAGACTGGAAGATTGGTCTGAAATAAGGAAACCCCATTAGGATCAGCCAGCAGCACCACTAGGCTATGATGCAGCTGCACAAGGCTGCAGGCCAACCACGTACTGCAGCCTGTGTAAACACACACACACACGCACGGACACACACACGCACGCACGCACGCACGCACGCACGCACACACAAACACACAAACACACACACACACATACACACACACACACACACACACACACACACACACACACACACACACACACACACACACACACACACACAGACACACAGATGCAGTTGTTTTTCAATGACTAGGTCAGGAGACCCAAATGCTGGTTGTGGTAACATTAAAAATGGGCCCCCAGAATTACATTAGTATTTGAAGCTACCAACTGAGGTATGGGGCCAAGTCCTTCTTAGGTTCTTGCAACTTAACATAGGGTGAATAAAATACTATAGGCCAGTAGGTTAGTTGCCCAAAGTCAGGTTTCACTTGAAAATCATATTCTGGTCTGTTGAAGATCTGTTCAAAATACTTTTAAGTTAGGCTGGAGACTTAGGAAATACACACTGTATAGGAGGCTTTAACAACAAATGAATGTTTGGGAAAAAAAACCCTGAAATACTTATTTAGAGAGTACAAATGTCATCAAAATAGTATATACACAATCCATATGACCATTTTTATGATTCATGTGTTAAAGAAAAGTGTAAAATGGTTGAAAAACTATTATATAATTCAGTTTGCACACTTCATGGAAAATATGTACTTGGCCACATTTTAATACTCAGTGCTAAAAGCAGGTACCTTACCCAATGATCATCGCTCATACCTGTTGGATGACATAATATGAGCTAACTCTTTCTACCACACATCCCAGAGGGTTAGCCAAGGCAAATGCCTACTTGGTTTTGAACCTTCTTTCTTACCTCTCATTCCATCTCTCTTCATAATGTGCTTCCCCAAATATCTACCTCTATTTCTCTGATTTCTCCTGGTTCCTGCTTGCTCTGCTAGTTTTAGTTTACTTTTAATTCAACCTCCCTGGCCTTTCTCCTCACCTTCTCAATACTGTCTTATACTTTCTGTTGTCTCCACTGTCTTCCAAACTCTTCTTACATTACCCAATTACCTGGTGTTTCATTTGTCTGTTTGTTCCTTCTCACCTCTTTCCATATCTGACCTCTGTTTATCATACCCCCATTTGCCTGCCCTCTCTGTTGCTTGTGACTCCACTTAGATACTTTCACTCGTCTTCTCTTCCTCCTATCAACTTTTCTTATGTCTTATTTTCTGCTCCAAGGACCTCTTGTCATCATTTCCTGCCATCCTCACCCTGCCAAGTCGGTGTCCTCTCCTCTGTCCTTCACAGGCTGTTGAATGGCCTTCAGCTGAAAGCCTTGTCAGGGCCTGGCTGCCTTGACAGGCAGCTGAGGTATATGGCCTTACAGAAACAAACCCATGAAACACAGACACACACACACACAGACACACACAGACACACACAGACACACACAGACACACACAGACACAGACACGCACAGACACACACACACACACACACACACAGACACACACACACTTACTGCAGCATGTCCAGACACACAGCAGCCAATGTTGTGTATCCTTCACACTGGCTGCAGTTCAACTCATAACATGTGTTTAACCCCATATAGCAATAACCTCCAGAGTGAGGAGTTGGTGCAATTAACTCCCTCTCTCTTTGTCTCTCACACACACATGCCAACAGCCCTTCCAAACTGCAGGAGCCATAAAACAGAGCAACTTTGTAAAAAAAAAAACAAAAAAACAATAAAAGTATTACAATATGATACTTTCAAGTACAATATATATTTATGTGCCTTTATGGGGTGAACCTGTGCTATATCCAAGGCAATCAGGCTATGCATATCTGCTGTGTGTGTGTGTGTGTGTGTGTGTGTGTGTAGTGTGGGCACAGAGCATTCAGTGTCCATAACCATCACCATGACCCCTGTCAAATAAATAGAGAGAGACTGGATGGAAGACAGGGAGCAAAGCACATGGAAAAAGGTAGCTGGGAATGAGGAGGCAAGGCAGAGGGAGGGAGGCAGAATTACAGACATTTAAATTTGCTTCAGACTCCAGTGTTCCCTCTACCATTGCCTTGGGCTGGAGGGCAAGGCCCCCCTCCCAAAAGAAATCAAAGATAAAAATAAAATTAAAATTCTATGTTATTTACCTACTTTACTCACTCAATTAATTTCAGCTCAGTGTGAGTCTCTACTGCGTTGTGATGTCATTTATGGTCACATTTCTGCCCATCCCACCCACAAAGAGTGGTGCAGGGCAGAGGAGAGACAGGTCGATGACTTGTTCACTTAAGTACAATAAAAGTTTCCCAACAAGCGTTGGGAAGTCAGAACAAAATATCAAATGCTCGCAATCTGGACACAGTGGCAAGGATGCTAGCAGCACTGCCTCTGATGGCAGGGAGAGCGCTAGCAGCTCTGCAGCTTCAGAAAAACCCCCAACCCCCAAAAAATGTCATTGTGGACAGGCACACAGAGGGCCAGGATAAAAAGAATCTGACAAATTTTGTCTGAGAAAATGAGAGAGGATCATGTACCTGTTGCTGTATCCTGCTGCTCCCTCTGTGAGGTTGATATAGCAACCATGTGCAGAAGACTGGATCCATGTTGACAGCTATGCCCTGGACACTGACCAGCAGGACTGCACCTGGACAACACAAGTACACATAGAGAAAAAGAAACAAATCAGAGATTTAAGCCATGAAAAAATATTAGGAATGGATATATTATACAGCTGTCTTGCCTTTACAAAATCAACACAAACAGCCCAATTGTTTGTTCAACACAACTAATTCAATAGGATCCAAGTCAAGAGATGCACAGAATTACTGACTGAGGTGGAAACTATGTGAACTTGAATGGACAAAAATGTTCCGATGCTCCTGCTGCAATTATTTCTCTAAAGTAAGAATGACATCTATATGGATCACTGAAATCAATGTAAGGTAATAACCAATGAGCAAAAGTGATTTAGGGCAAATCTGGTCAGATTGAGTGTCAGGTTCTTCCACTCCTGCACAGTTTACACTGTGTCCTAATGACCTGCTCGTGGGTATCAAGCCTGCTTGTTGGAGAGCAGCAAGGAGCAGTTTGTTTCAACTGCTCTGTTCAAAGTGGTATCACACTAAGCCAAGAATAACATTTTCTTTTGATAAATTTCTATGAAACTCAAGACTTTCTCTGGGTTTTGGTTTACTCTTAAATAATAATCTTTACCAACAATAAGAGGGCCCTGAGGTAATGCATTAGGATCCTATCAATAATGATTCCCATGCCGGCAGGATTAGTGTAGGGTCTTTGGCGTGCCGTGGAATGTCCCAGCATGACGATAGGAGGATGTTTCAGCTCTAGAAGGACTTTCAGCAGTTTAATGGAGATTTGGACAAGAACCCAGTCTTCTGTTTCAGGCCCTGAGGCAAAGCCGAGTGTGTGTGTAAGTGTGAATGTGTAAATGTCTGTGTGCATTTCACCTCCGACAAAGCCCGATTGCTCGTTGCTTTGCCTAACATTTAAGTGTCTCTCAAGCATGGACAAAGCACAATTATAAATTTTACCTCGAAGCACACTTACAGAGACACACGCACATATTTTTGTTACACCACCTCTCTAGCTTGGCAGGAATTACTCGCTCCTCCATTATTCCCTGTGAACAATGCATATAAAACAGGTCCAATTTGCTCCACTTTTACAATGTTAGGTGATTTGTGGCCTGTGAGCTTATGTGTTTGCTGTAAATGTGTATGAGCAGTGAGAAATGAGTCTGTGTCAGTACTGTAAATTTGTGTATACATGTATCAGTACTGGTGTCTGATCATTATTCACTAGGTTCACTTTAATGCTCAGCCGTAGTTAATTACTGGTACAGAAAACTTTCTCTGGGGAAACTTTCTCATTGGATCAAGTCAAACTGGCTCAAAGTTCTTCCTGTATTGCTTCATCTATCTTTCTACTTTCTTTACTTTCCGTCATTTCCATTCTCTTGTCTCTTCACTTTTTTCTCCATCCATCTACCCCTACAAACCTCCTTGTCTCCCTAACAACAGCCTTGTACTTATTCTACATCCACCTCTCTCCCTTTCCTTCTGACGAGGAATCATAACCTCAGCCTTGTGGCTTGAACTCTTATACCACAATGTGGCTGCTTAATAGGCTTTGGCTGTGGCTGTAGTGCTGGGGCCTGACTTCAAGTGGTTTCATCGAAGCCCAGAACAGCATGAGCAGTATAGGACCCAAAAGTCTGGGAATGAGCTGAGTAGTGAAGATGTAGTGAAGATGTATTCAATAATCTGACCCTAAATTGTGGTCCATGGGATGCACTGAGCACACAAGAAAACCACATTCTGCAGAAATGAGTCATAGTGCAATAAATCATGTAACTTAGTAGATGGATTGTTTATAAATAATTATTACAGAGATAAATGAGCAAATAAAGATATATAAACTGCTTAATTGCAGATAACGCTCTCAACCAGAGCAGCTAAGCTGTGTTTTTATGCACAGAATTAATATGTTATAAAGCCAATACAGCTTTAAGGCACGCTACTGTATACAGCCACCAGCTTTTTCATTGTAAACTTTAGGTGAACAGTTAAAAAGAAAATAGCATATGATCACTTTGGGAATAAAAATAAATCATTACACCAAATTTGATTTTAAGATGTTTTATGAAAAGTTCAACTTTTTAAAGGGATCACATGACATCAACTGCATTTTTCTACATAAGGAGACCAAATCCACAAAAGACGAAGGAAGCATAGTTTGACTCTAGGCAGTATCAAAGCTAGTATGGAAATCCCAAATAGAATGAACAAAAATCCATTACAACAAAATGGTCTTAAAGTAAGCTGGTTCTTAAATAAGTAAGTAAGCTTAAGTCACTGGCAGAATACCAGCAGCTGTCATCTTATTGTGGCCGTGTTTTGTGTCTGTCTGGCTTCTGCCAATGACAGCCATGACCATGTTGATACATCACAACTCCACTCAGAAAGCTCTCTGTCTGAGATTAACAGAGCAAACAACCTTTCTTCCCTCTCTCTCTCTGCCAGTTTGACAGTGACACAGAAACAAAATATGTGTTGACCTGGCTTTTGAGGCTTTGAAGACCAAGGCTTTACCATCCACACTGTGTGTTCTTGTTTCATCATTGTGTTGACATAACTGCCAAGAGTGACACCTCCTTTGAAGCATGCAGCACCATGAAACGGCCTGGCATGCTTAGAGGGCGACCTCAGCAGCAGGTTAACTGTTGTTTTTCTCTGCTCTAACAGGACGGCATATGGGTAATTACAGAAAGCGATGACAATGATAACAAAGGTGTTTTTCTTACTTCCTAAATGATTCCTCAAGAAAACATCAGAAAACTGCTCAGTGGCCTAGACTCTGAAAATATACACAACCGCAGAATGTACGTGCAGGCATTTGTGAAGACACACTTACCTTGACTCAGCCAGAGTGGACCTATTAATGCCAAAGGTGTTATTGTTTCTTCAGTGGAGACCAGTAGAGTTAAAAGGAGGCATGGGGCTGCTGGTGTTGTTTTATGGCTGTCTGACATCTGTCCTCAGGCTACAGTAGAGCATTAGACTAGACTGAGAGAAGGCATCTTACCTTTAAAGCCAGTCTCTTCCTTTCTGGGTCAACAGCCCCAATAATCTATCTGCCGCACATCTTTCTGTCTTCATATTGTCTTTTTTTTTATCAGGTTACATGGTTTATACATTGAAATTTTTGAATGCAAAATCTGCTTTTGTTCAGTCACTGCAAGCATGAAATTCAATAAACTGGGAGTGGTTAGGTCAGTGCAAGTTCAAAATCAAGTCCCACAGTGGAGACCAAAGCCCTGATTGGGGTTACAGAGGGCACAACCTCTCAACAACAGAGCCATGACCCCACCATCAGAGTAACAAGACAGGCAAAGAGAGGTGGGAGGTGCTCACCATTCACCCCCCAGATAGACAGAGGGGGGAGGATTCATGTCCTAGCCAGCTAATCGCCCCCGCAGAATCACTTCATTGTTGGACGTGAGGCAGTGCTGGGACCCTGCGTCCAGCTTCTCCAACAGAAAATAAATAAATATAGCCCAGCCCGCGTCAGCCAGATGACTTCTGACAGGTTTGGTTAATTTCGAAGCCAAGTAGCAAAACAAAACATTACGCCAGCGTGCGGGGCCTACGCTGCCTTTAATTGCTTTTCCGATGAGCTCATGACTCAAAGGTGTCCTGGAGTGAGCCATGCAGCCCGACAGGTGTTCTACTGGTGCGTGTGTCGGTGTGAGTGTCTGCAAATCTGTGTGTGTGTGTCTGTGTGTGTGTGTGTGTTGGATCTGATGACACCACTGAAAAGGGGACTCAGCTGTGTGTGGGTGGGTGCAAGGAACAGTGAGTGCAGTATATGTTGTGTGTGCGTGTATGATCGGAGTATTTACATGCTCCTTTATGCACGTTTCTTTTTGTATCCATCTGTGTACTTGTGTATGACAGTGAGACACCGATTCACAAAGCTACACACCTCCTTGCTCTCAAACAAACACCACTCCCTGACACATATTCAGTATACTACTGTTTCCCTGCCTTGCTGCAACCCTGCGGCCTGGGGGCAATGCAGCAACACAGGAGCCCAGAGGCTCAGGAAGGACACAAGCAGGTTTGACTGGAAACAGACCCTGGCCTACGGAAAGCCTGCTCTCACTCTGCGCCCATACAACTCTCTGCATTGAAAGCCAGTGTATATGTGTGCCTGTGCATGTGTGTGTGCTTTTAGGAGAAGATAAGTGTATATGCGTACGTGTGTGTATGTGTGTATGTGTGTGTGTGTGTGTGTGTGTGTGTGTGTGTGTGTGTGTGTGTGTGTGTGTGCGTGTGTGTGTCTTTCAACATGGCCCAACAGCAGTAGCCTGCAGCTGACAGTCTAGACCCACCTCATAAAGGTTGACTATGGCTGTGAGTACAGTAACAGTAAAAGGCAGGAGGAGAGCTGGAGAGTGATTCAGCCAGTTAGGGAGTCAGTAAAATGCAAATAGATAAAGATGGAGTGACAGTAGCAGAGAAACAGCAAAAAAATACAGTCGAAGACAGAATCACAGGCAATACATTCAGAAAGAGAGGAAGAAAAACAGAGTACTTAAACAGAACATATAAAATCATGGATGATGAGAAAGTATTTTTTAAGTTATTTTCCTAATCTACATGATAAGGGAGTAGGCCTCAGAATTTGGCCATGGATCTGTATGATTTATGGGATGACTACAGTAAGTCTCCGTACATGCAAAGTGCTATGAACCGGATATATCACATACACCAACAGTCTGGATAAGTGGGGTTACCACACGTGTCTAAATAAAATACATGTCTAAAAGGTCCACGTACATACACAAACATCCACTACATAATTCAAAACTGTGTATGTTCACTCACTGAGCACTTTATCAGGAACACTAAACTAATACTGGGTAGAGCCTCACTTTGCTCTCAAAACAACCTCAGTTCTTTGTGGCATGGATCCCACAAGATGTTGGAAACATTCCTTTGAGATTCTGCTCCTTGTTGACATGACTGCATCACATCATTTCTGCAGATTTCTCAGCTGCACATTCATGCTGCCAATCTCCCATTCTACCACATCCCAAAGGTTTTCTATTGGATTCAGATC